GAGTGACCCACAAGTGTGTCCTACAAGAGTGTCCGAGAAGAGTGTCCTGTAAGAGTGACCCACAAGAGCGTCCCACAAGAGTGCCCTACCTTATCAATAAATCCTGGTAATCTTGTCAAAATCACACACTCTCACAACAGTCCCTTCCCTATTGTTTGGTGAATTATCGGATCGGCAAGTCTGTCCTTGCCAGGCAAACACCACACATCAAATTCATGACTTGTTGGATGCTTGTCGTTTGCAGTTCATGCTGCGAGCATTAGCTCTGCCAGGCTACCAACAAGACCAGCCATGTCGCGTTCGTCGTCAATAGCTTTTTGTTATTCAGCAGCTGGGCATGGTCAAACAGCCATGGAAATGTGCGGCTGCCACAATTTTTTGCCCACGTGCTCTCGTGTTCTCTCCTGGATGCAATGCAACCTGAACTGGCCAGGAAGATGACGCTGCCGGGTGTGGATGGGCAAGAACCTACAGTCAAGCAACACGGGGCGCGCAACTCAAAGACGGACTCATTCAGTAATTTTACGTTCTATTTAGTTGGGGTGATATTGAATTGGTGTTTCGACATATGTTTGAAGGGAGCAATGTTGGAGTTTATTCATGTGTTCAGTTCGATGCAACACAACACAGGGAGTGAAATGATAATTGACAGGTGTGGCAAAATGACCATGGTGTTCCCTTATCGGTTCACTGTGCTTTGGACTCGCAGTATACATGGCTCATGTTCATGCAGGTTTTGGTTGCAAGCAAGGAGGTTCAGGAGGTCGAGGTAAAAGAAGAGAAACCTTCGATTTCTGTGGCCTAAAATTTTCTTAGGCTGTACAAAAGTGCAAAGTAAAACGGCATATTTGCCAAATAGGTGTGCTCAGCAACGGGCAGTCAAATTACTATCAGGTTGTGGAATCATGCAAAGGTTTTTAATACAGTAATTGGAAATCAGCAAGTCAGCCAGCAGAAAGGACGTTTATCCCTGTGCACACATATATTTCTCGAGAAAGTATTTTGTGTTTGTGTGCACCTGAGAACAAAGGATGCACAAAAGAAGGGAGAGACATGGCCACAGCATGTTCTTTGCCTACGAATCTGGGTGACGGCCTGTTCCACGTGCCTGCATGTTTCGACAAGACATGATGTGTTGGCGTGCTGACGCTTTACTGCGGGCTCAGGTCTTGTCTTGGTGCTTCGCTCGCGCTTTGGAAGAGCCGGGAACACACGAGCTGCCGATTCAGACATCAGATAGTGCAATGGTTTGTCAAAGCCAAATATATATATATATATAATGATCCCCGTCCCTGAATTAAATCCTGGGGTCCAATACAAAATAATACTTCTTACAATGTTCTCTTTGAGCAACTTTGCTTGCTGGTTTGACTCGGTTTGACATTCCAAGATTGAACTTCTCTGGCACGTACTTCGATCTTCAAGAGGTTGGGAATCAAAAAAATCGAAGAACTTGTAGAGGGAGGGGTCGCTGTGATTCAGCGTGATGAGCTCCCATCTCATCCAGCGACAGGAAATTCAGCAGCAGATGCAGACCATCAAAAGTACTGCTTTGCCACGCATGGATCAGGACAGACCGACACGACACGAGGGCAAAAGGCTTGGTGGGTCCGTGGAGATCGGCAATGGCACTATATAGAAACTACAAAGGTTGCTTTGGATGTGTATTAAATATTAAGTATTTATATAAGCAAAAAATCAAGGTGGAAAGCACCGGAAATGCAGAGGATAGTTTCATTATGTTTCATGCAAGCATGCGACGTGACATGATTTACAATTCGTTGACTGTACAAGTCTATGGCATTCTATGGGACACGCAACAAACAATTGCACTTGAAAGAGATCAAAGCAGTATGTTCGAAAACATGTTGTTTCTCATGCTTTTGGAACCGTGCTACCTTCCTCCATGGAATGGTTCAGTTTGATACATGTTGATACAGGTTTGTCATGGTTTGTCCATAGAAATGCTTAGACTCGAATCTCAGAGTGTGGAGGTCAGCACAGTAATCTAGTGACATGGTTGATGTTGTACATTGTATATTCCAAGCATGATTTACAATGGAGTTCGTCAACACAAGCGCTCTGAAACTCTTTGGCGATCTGAAATCTCAAAGGGAGTGAAGAAGAATCCTTCACTCTGCCAGGCCCTGCCACTTGCAAAGAAATGACCAAAAAAGTTTTGTTACTGGCCACAAAGCTCAAGGACATGTCCCAAAGGCATTCACGGCAAGCCAAAAGACTGGGCAAAAAGCTTAAGGACTTTGTGCCCAACACATTACCTTTGCTGACTCCTTTGCTGTTTTCCACGCCGCTGCATTGTAGCAAAGCCCGTCAGGGCTGGTCATTAAGGGCATCTCTTGAAACTCCTCAGTATTTGGCCTTTCTGTCCTGAAGCCTTGCTGGCCACGCCTCAAGCTTTTAAGCTTTTTGGGCCAACCCTGAATTTACTGTAGCCAGTCATCACAGGTCTTTAGCATTGTTGCTCGTCCAAAGGTGTTGGGCCAGTCCTTAAGAGTTGCTTTTGAATGTCAATAGCATTCATGAATGTTCAAGCACTTGGCCATTCCTCGAGGACAATTCACAATTTCCTCCCTGTGAAAGGCGTGCGCCCAATCGATTGTTTAATATGTATTAACATGTTGTTCAATCTTTCTTGTCTCTCTACTACATGACTAATTATTACTAATTCTATATAGCCTTTGGCCAATGCCAACCCTTCGAGATCCTGGCCAAGTGGAGCCATACCTTTCAGCTTGACATGTAGTCATGTCGATTCATTGTCAAAGAAACTACAAACTATAAATCAAAGATTGCAATGCCCAAACTGATTGAAACTCTACGATCCCATTTCAATTTCAGTGATGTGCGACCTCCAAAACCTTCCCGAGTATAAATCACCTTAGGATGTCAAATCAAACCATGTGTCAAGCTTGAAGATGAAGATGCTTGATAGATCCGTTATGTTGTCCACAATCACAAACATTCCAGCAGCACGAACCCATGCGTCACCCTTAGGTCGTGGTGAACAACAACAGCTGCCATGCACATGGAAGTTACAAATGCAGAGATTGGATGCGGAGACCAAAAGATAATGCTACTCCCAGGCTGGTGGCTCCAATAAAGGCGGACTTTTGTTTCCACACCCTCTTGACACTGCTCACTTAGGATGATACAGAATCTTGCCATATTTTGCTTGTTGTTTCAACACTGATTCAAAAAGAAAAACGCTTCAAGTTTGTCAAAGCATCAATCACCACTGTTCGTACCACAGGATCCGCTGGTGCATGAGTGTCTCCACACTGACCTCAGAAACCCTGCCCCGTCACTATTTGTACTTTGCTAGTGTACGAGTTTTAAAGGTGAGGGGGTAGGCCGTTAGAAGAGGTAAGCCAGTTACGGTGTATATATATACTAGCTATTAGGTACTGGACGCTTATTCAAGGAAGAGCACTATTCATGTGGTTCCTATATAGATTTGTAGGAAAGCTGATGCATTTGCATGACGCGGTGAAAGCGCTTATTTGATTCTTTGGCCTGGTAAGGAACAAGGTGCCAGTCCTGTCCCATCGTCGATAAAGACATTTCAATTACACCAGCATAGACCCAGATAGCTAGGCAGAATCCCACGACCTGTTGACATGCGACTGGCTGGAACAAGAATGTACGCAGCCTGCACATCCACAGCGCGCACAACCAGCTGACACCAGCACCGGTGCGCTTTGCCAGCTGACAACACCGGCAGCGGCGCCAGCACCCGACCAGCGCCGCCGCCCGTCTTAAACGCGCGCTCGGCCAGCTCACAGCACCAGCACCGACACCCTTTCGAAAGCGCGCGCAGCCAGCTCATTCTTATTTGCAGCAAGAACGCCATAGCTATCCCTATTGGGGGAATAACAAAGTATGATCTTGCGCGTATAAGTTGATGCACACACAAGTATGCGCGCAAACAGCAAAGCCCGTAAGTGTCATTGGCCAAGGCCAAGCAGTATCCAGCACGACTATTGTGTGTGTAGCACGCTGAAACATGTTGAAAGAATGGTCAATGGTCGGTTGAGAGCCTGACGTTGCGCATAAAAAATTATACGTACAAAAGTATGCGCGCGAACAGTACAGCCCTTGACACAGCTGTGGGCCAAACCAGAACTTGAAGAGTGTCAATACACGTGCACAGCCAGCTCACAGCACCGGCGCCGGCGCCCGGCGCCCACCAGCACCGGCACCCGGCACCAGCACCACCAACCTTCTCCACCACGTACAGCCAGCTCACAGCACCAGCACCGGCGCCAGAACCCAGCACCAGCACCGGCACCCCACACCACCACCAGCAACCTGTCCCCACCACGTGCACAGCCAGCTCACAGCACCAGCACCAGCACCGGCACCAGCAACCTGTCTCCACCACGTGCACAGCCAGCTCACAGCACCGGCACCCGGCACCCGGCACCAGCACCAGCACCGGCACCCAGCACCAGCACCAACACCTGCAACTTGTCTCCACCACGTGCACAGCCAGCTCACAGCACCGGCACCTGGCACCCAGCACCAGCACCGGCGCCAGCAACCTGTCCCCACCACGTGCACAGCCAGCTCACAGCACCGGCACCCAGCACCAGCACCAGCAACCTGTCTCGAAATCGCGCACGGGCAACTCATGGTTATTTGAAGTAAGAACCCCATAGCTTCGCTTTCTGAGAAAAATTGTGTATGTCTTTATATATGTATACAAACCATGCAGCATGTTCACAGACAGTGGCAAGGAAGTCTTGATGACCTTCTCCCTCCCTTTGTGCCAGTCTCAATATGTCTCAATGCATATGCAAGCTCAAACAAGTTCAATCACGACACTCAACATGACGCAGCTGCTTTGGCAACAAAGGTCCAAGCCGCGTACTATGAAGGTGTTGCAGCCTGTCGGGCCTGTCGGCCCGCCATAAGCTGAGCATGGTTAGCATGGTTTTGCCTTTTTTTCGGTCCGTTTTTTGAAACGCTTTGTGTCGCCTGTGCTTGTATTGCTGGGTTATATAGTTTATTTTAGCTGTTTGTATGTCGGTATGTTGTCGTTTTTAATTTGAAGAGGATGATAAAGGCGGAAGGTTCTGAGTAGATCTGTGACCGTGTGTGGGTCAGGGCGATTATTGGACTGCACAAGCAGATCAGGCCTGCTCCAGACCGCGGCTTGAGCACTCAGAGCATGCGCTTGGCGCCGCCGGCTTGGGCCTCAGCAATGATTCTTGCAGGCCCTCCGCCAACCTTTAATCCAAACCCCAACCTTGCCCATGAAATTTGATGAGAGTGTCTTAAGCCCAAGCCCAGTAACTGAAACAAAGCCTTGCCCCTACCAACAAGATGTGCACAAGCCTGATCTGGAACCTGAACTCCAACGTGGCTCTCTCCAATGGTTTTGCGAGATTTCTATAGATTTCTGATCAACGTCCTTTCATATTACGTTTTTAGCAAGATGTTACGTTGCAAGATGTTGCGAACATCTCTTTGCAGTCTTAGCAGAGCATGTCATTTTGCATTGGGGGCTTCTGGAGATATGAATGTGTCATTTGGACGGCCTTCGCCCCTCCATGTTTCTCCCTTGTAGTTTCATGTAGTTGCGCACTAGTAAAGGTCCTTCGAGTTTCGATGGACAATTGATCTTCATTCTAAGACATGTGATAGTTTGTCCTGGTCTGGTCAGCGGGGACATATGGGGACATGACATTGGGACATGGAACCTAAAACCAAACCAAGACTCCTTAACCATTGAAACCAACTGAGCCCGTGAAACCAAGCCTGAATTGAAGCTACCCCCAGCACCAGCTCAAACCGGCAAGCAATTTCATTTACGTTTGCACCAGAGCAAGTCGAACCAGGACTTGAACAGTTGCCATGTCCGTGGATCAAAGTGACAATGACTTGAGATGGTGAGAGACATTGAAACAGGTCCTTGTTGTTTCTATTTTCTATCGAAGGCTTTCGAAGAACTTCTTGCTTGTTTCGAGGTCGTGCCTCCACCACCCCCAGGCTTTCTTGCAGGCAAGTGGCAAGTGGGTGCCAGGAATTCATGCAGGGCTCCCTTACCGCCCGAATTGTATGAATGATGGTTTGGCGGAAAGAAATGACCGCATGTTGGTGAGAACCTGTAGAAATGAATGCTAATATATGTTTGCAAGGGGTGGGGGTTGCATCCGCTCCAATCCATTTTGTGCCAAGCCATCCATCCGTCCATAAAGCCTCCCCACTACTGGTATTTTGATCCACGTCCCATTGCGCTCCATCTTGACCAAGCATTGGAACGATATACTGTGCCCTTTAAGTCTGGAAGGCCACTTTGGAGTCTTCGAATGTGTTTGAATGTTTTTGATGCTGTTTGCCAAAGCACAAGCCTCAAAAGCGGGTCGCCAAAGGATTGAGGGATTGCCCGAATGCGTGGGCACGAACCACAAACCATGTGCTGGAGCGCTCTTCGTGTGAGTGAGCTGCAAGGAACGAGTCAGCTCTTTCTCCTTGGCATGACGTAGGACATGAGACGACATGAGTACGGAACTCATTAGGAATTCTTGAGAGAATCTTGCCGTCAACTGTGCATGATGGGTGCTGGGCACTGAGAAGCTTACAGCCAGTGTTGTTTTTTGATTTGGCAATTGCATCCACTAAATATCCTCCAAATTCTCCACACACCCCTGCAGCAAATGTAATTGAAAGGGCTGTTGCCTGGCAGAGTCTGCAAGGAGCGCTCCAAAGCGCAAAACCTCTCGTCGTTGGGTTACTTTAAAGCCGTCGGCATTTTGCCACTGACAGAGTCGACCAGACCCCGTTGATCCAGTTTCCCATCCTTTCCACTTTTCACAGTCTCCTTTGGCTGCATGCCTCCACCTGAAGTCGTGCAAGATCATGTTCAGATGTGCTCCTCAGCTCTTCTCATTCTATTCTACTAGTACCTTGTTATATACTACTGTTTGATTTGTTACTGTTTGGTTGTTTGTTTGTTTTTTGTTTATGTTTGTTACTGTTTGTGTGGTGTTTGTTTGTTTTTTGTTTGTTACTCTTTGTTACTGGTTGTGTGTGTTTGTGTGTGTTTGTTTGTTTGTTTGTTACTGTGTTTTTGTTTGTTACTGTTTGTTTGTTTGTTACTGTTTGTTACTGTTTGTTTGTTTGTTTCTTTCTTTCTGTTTGTTTTTGTTTGTTACTGTGTGTGTGGTTTGTTACTGTTTGTTGGTTTTTTATTTGTTTGTTTGTTACTGGTTGTTACTGTTTATTACTGTGTGTTACTGTTTGTTATTGTTTGTTCTTGTTTGTTTGTTTTTTGGTTGGTTGCTTGTTTGTTAGTCTATTTGTGTGTTTAATGCTTAACAAAAAAGGGGTGAAAAAACTCAGACCACTTGATTTCAGATGCCTCATCCTCCTACTATATAACATCACCTTTTTGTTTGTGAGTTCAATGTTACTCTCATGAATCTATCCAGCATCAGTTGCCCTGACATGTCATCCAGACATCCAGATAAACACAATGGCCAGACCCTAGTGTAATAAGCAATCCTGATGGGAAAGATGAGGGTTCAGGTTGTTCGCTTTCTGGCAAAGGGACATTGAAGTGAAGGCTGTAGTGGTGCATACAATTTGTTCCAACATTCAGCGTCGTTGAAGAAAATCAAAAATAATATGCAAAGAGTTTGTATCATGTTGCATCTCCTTTCCAGGCAATGGAAACGCTGCAGCATCTCGACCAGTGTCAGAAGATATCCCCCCGGCATCTTGGCAAAACCATTCTTGAATACTTAATACTTGGACTTGGACAGCTCATATGAATCTAACCCTTTGGTTGGACTGGTCGCTGGTTTGGCTGCTCACACAGCATCCCGGAAATTGGTTCATGGTGAGTTTGTACTTGGAATTCAGACAGTTACATTGATGTCAAAAGATGTCAGATGTCTCAAACAAATAAGAAAACAATTATATGCATTAGTATTGAATATGGTTTTGTTGCGTGATTACAGATTAGATTCACCTTGTTGTGGAGCCTCACCATCTCCTGTTGGGTCGTCAAATGGTACTGTTAGTGCAAAAGCCGCCTTGTCTTATTTCGTATTGAGGTTCAATCACGGCCAGCATGGTCAGAGCTTGTGCATCACAATGTCGAAGGTCGGGAAGGCTCCTTCAAAGTGTCTCGGCAAAGAATAAGCAAATACACCCTTCAAAGTGTACAGCATCCTTGAAAGACTTGGTGTCTTTTGCAACTTGTGCACATCAGTGCTACGCTGTCAAAACATGTTAAAAAGAAACCTACATACAAATCAATCACACTTTTCGCGGAGGTTCAGGGAGCCAGCTATGCTCCTCCACAGCTGAAAGATGATAAGCCAGGAAATGGAAAGCCAACGGAATCCGGGCTGCTTTGGTGGCATATGTGAATTGCATTGCGTATCGAAGTCATTCGCGTAGCTCTTTTGATGCGAGGTTTCCATGGCAGCGCACTGTGGACCGTTTCAGTCGCCCTGCCAGAATCTCAGCGTTGCCAGATATGCTTTATTCGAATCGAGAATTGGTATTGGGTGTTTAATCGGATGTTTGTTCACTCAGGCCTTGCATCACTGAAAACGATATGTTATTCATATTAATCAAAGCGCTTGTGCAGGATTCAGGGCAGCGACAACTGCCAGTGCCACCGCCGCCACCGTTGCTGCCGCTTTCAAGGTTCGGGACCATGTGAGAAGTTCACGCCACGCAAATGGTAGAGACGTCAAGAATTTTCTTGAAAATACTGTATTCGAAGATATACAAAGCAAGTCAAAGCCATTGACCAAACACCAATTGAGCAAAGTGCTAAAGGTCGGCGCTCACGTTTCTTCAAAAATGAGAAATGTGCATTTTCCTTGAAAAAATTATAAGAATCCCAAAAACGATACCTAGCCTTGTGACCGTACACACTTGGAATCTATCTTTGCCTATTGACACTGTTGACACTCGAGACCGTGTATGTCCAACGTTTTTTTGCATATTTGCCATGCTAGTTGGACATTCCATTTTGTTTTTGCTCATTTTCCCTTCTCTTTCTTCGATGGGAAATAAATATGGGTTTAGAGTTTAGAACGATGCCAAACGATACCCACTTCATAGGTCTGTATCCCCTCAGAAACCACCTACTACTTCTAGCACCACCACCACCGCCACGGCTACTACCACTGCTACTGCTACTGCTACTGCTACTACGACTGCAACTACTTCTACTTCTACTTACTACTACTACTACTACTACTAC